TTTTCTTGAATGGTGAGTGATTGAGAGCAAGTGGAAAAGGAGATGCAAGTTAGACATTAGAAGACTCTTCGTAATGACAATAATTATGATAAAAACCTGATTGCTGGAAGTTACCCAGGTTCTCTATCAAGAACTGCACAGACAAGACTGCTCTAGATTTGATGGTTTGTTGAGACAATCTTGTCACTCTTCTAGAATTTTTTTTAAATACCTATTAAGTGGGAGAGATTTTGTTTGGTTTTAAGAGGCAAGGCTTGGATAGCACATCAGAATACACTGGCCTAATCTTTCAACATAATATTAGTTGACACAGAAAATGGTAATATTTCTTTGACAATTACAGAAAATCATCTCAGGTGCACATTTTAATCATCCAGGAAGGGGGAGGACAGCACTGGGGAGGACTGGCTTGAGTCCTTACTAACCTTACCGGAAAAGTTCCCAAACAGCATGAAGATCTCTTCTGGCATACTGAGCATGTAAAAGGTCTGGATCAGGATATCTGAGACCCTGCTTAGCTACAGTTGGCTGTGTTGCTTACTGGGGATCAAATAACAAGACATCAAGTCTACAGAAAAAAACTGAACATATGTAAAACTGACGGTGACAGAAGTTGCAGCATTTTCTATGTTTTGTAGGCCAACCATTTCATGCAGTTTTCAGGGTCACTCCAATTGTAATGATTCAAGTTCCACAGGGAATGAGATTAGTTACAAAATACAACTGCCGTTCCAGAAAGTAAATAGATTAACGCTTGCTGGTTTGAAGGCGGCACTCCTTGCTCTGGTGCAACTCGAGGCCATTCTCTCCAGTCTTATTTCTGTCTTATTACCCAGAAAAAGAGGCCGACTCCCAGCTCACCACAGCTTCCTTGCAGGGAGTTGCAGGGAGCAATAAGCTCTCTCCTGAGCCTCCTCTTCTCCAAACCAACCAATCCCAGTCCCCTCAGCTGTTCCTCCTAAGACTTGTGCTCCACACCCCTCTGCCATCTTCCTCAGAGCTGACACTAGGAAACCAGATCGATCACTTGATTCTTGCATGTGGACTAAAGACAGAAAAAACTAAAATTTAGACACTAGCGTTCACCTTTTTTCCCTCTCATGCTCATTCATTGAGGAAAAGCACATCACACTCTTTGGACACTCACCCAGTCCAGAACATTTCTGAGAACTTAACTGTTGGAAGGGCTTAGAGTCCAGGAAAAAAAGACTGGCTGAGCTTGAAGACAAGACTCTGGCACTGATGTTGTTTACAGCAGCTCCTGCACCTGAACAGACTGATGCCTTCTAAGAACATTCTCATTTGGAAACGATCCTATATTTGACTGCAGGCAGCTCCAGAGACCACCTTGCTATTGCCATTAAAGTGGCACCTGCAGCTCCTTAGGAGTTCCCACTGAGGTTCTCTTTGCTGAGCTGTGGACTATGGGCAGTCAGACAGCCCCCTGATGCTTTCACATTACACTCAGGACTCTTAAACCTGTTGCTGTTCTCAAGAATGAATCCTACAGTTAAATAAATGAAACAGTTTTTTTTCCAGCTCCTCTTACCCTTTTCTAAACCCCAGACACTGCAATCTTTGTACAACTGCTGTGAAAGAAAAAGCAAGCCTTCATGTCAAGGCCATACAATCTGCCAATGGCCTGGCATCTCCACTTCCTCTCGGCTCATTAATGAACTATCCAATATGTTTTTTCAATCTCACGGAGAGATTTCCTCATAGCGCAGTCTGTTAGCTCATGTTCCTATGCTGTTTTTAATGTATAACATACCTGTATTATCTTCTAACTTCCAGTCTTACAGTTCGCAAAAAGAACAATTGCAATGTAAGGCCATAAATGGGATTAGAATTGCCAGACAGAATGCCTGGTAACACTTGCCCTAGAAAATCTAGATTTTTCTGATAAACTTCAGATTCTGTAGCAAAACAGTAAATAACGAGTGACTCATTTCCAAGCCAGAAATATTCTTTCCTAACTGGGCATCACTCAAGAGGACTAACATAGAAATGTATTGTCAGGGTTTAACTCTACTAATTTATGTAGAATAAAACACTACAACGAAGTAATGGAGGAGGTCCATGATAAAGATAGTACCTAGAAACAGTGCACTGAGAGCTCCACATGGGCTCAGCTTCTGAAGTGATTAGTCATGGTGTGGATACATCTTCATTCTTAAAGGCAGCAGCATTCTGCCCACAAGATCAGTGATGGCTTGAAACAACTGCAATTAGGAACAGCACAGGCATTTAGAAGAAATTCAGTTACAAAAAAATGAAGTTTAACAGTAAAGATATTAATGCCTCTCCTAAAAACTAGAAAAACCTCCACACTTGTGAACTTACTCAGCTTTTCAGAAGGTAATGCAAATCAAGACTGTTAGTATTTAGAATGGCACACGCTTGCTGCCCGAAGATAACAGGTTTAAGGGATGTGATTTATGCCCATGGCATATATAAATCTGTTCTACTAATTCTGCTTTCACAGGAACTGGCTCTCCTTCCTGGGGGCTCGGTGTGGGGATCTACAAAAACAACTTGTTCCTATCAGCACTGAACTGTAGGAAGATTCTTTCAAATTCCCAAGTGCAGTTAAAAAAATAAAAAATCCATTTACTCTCTGGCTTCCTTTATTTTTTTCCTAACAGTTAATGTTGTAGAGCGCTACAGTGTACTACACATTATACTCTATAGCATTCCATCCTATGGAATACTTATACAGAGAAGTGAATAAATAGTTGTGTGCACATAGAGAGAACTGCATCTACACAGACAGGGTGGAGTCTTCTGACTTAAGTTCTGCATTCAGTTATCCTAAATTCCTGTGGAAAACCCAAGTGAAAAGTTTCTCAGATTTTTTCCTGATGTGTTTCAGATAAGATGTGACTTGAAGGACAAGAACATGCAGTTGTGTCAAGTAGGTCAATTTCTTGTTATGGTAGCTAGTGAAAGAATTATAGAAAAGAGAGAGAAAGGGAAGTGAGTGGTGACACTTGAACAGATGGCAAAGAACAAGATGCACAGAAATCAGTGTACAGAAAATGGAAGAAAATGTACTGCTCATAAGGTTGCAGACAGAATGACTTCAGAAGCACTGGCAAGAAATCAGAGAAAAGCCACTTAAACTTCCTTTTGAAAGACACGCATTTCTAAGAATCAAAGATGATAAGAATCTAACAAAGATTCCTCTCGATTTCAAAACAAGCAAATGTGGCACCTTAAATAAGTCCTGTGACACGCAGGCTTAGCAGTGGACTAATTACCCCTATCTACGCAAGGCGTACCATGGTTAAACACACAGCATACCAGGCACAAACTTGGCAGGAATGCTTTCTACATCTGCCATAAGCCGATTTACTCACATAGGCACTCAGCTACCAAGCAGGAGCTGAGGAGGGAGATTTTTTCCCTCACATTCACCCTTCTCAAATACTTCATGTTTTGCAAGATTTAGGATGGATTTTTCTTCCATCTGTGAGAATTATTTCAAGGATTCCATCCAATTTCTATTGGAAATTGAACTCATATCCCTTTACAAAGAGGAAGTGCAGATATAAACCTTAGTTCTATAGCCTCCTGCTGTGCGATGTATTTCCACGTTGACATGTTTAAATAAAACAGCATTAGTTGTAAGTATCAGAACTTCCCTACTTCGCTAATGCAAAATAGAAGTGACTTGTCCCTTTTTCCCAACACAATTAGTCTGCCTCCACTGACAAGCATGATGGCCTGACAGAAGCACATCTGCAGAGCAGAACAGCAAGAGCTCACAGCCCAGTGCCCAGATGTGATGCCTGCACGTAACTTCAGGTGAGCTCCTGAAAGCAGAATGAAGGCACATGAACGGCTGCAGCACATCGGGCACTGCCACAGCACATCTCAGTGCAGCCTCCTCCCAACCCAGTCAGGTTTGCATGCTCTGGGATCCCTGTACTGTGAACCACGGTAGCGTGTAGAGGAGTCACTTTAAAAAAATATAAACATGACCTAAACTAAAATACAGCAAATGCACACTAGCAGCATTTACAGGACATTTCTTGTAAGCTTTCAGATGACCCATTCAGGCCTCTACTACAAAAGCCAATTAATTCACGGATCTGCAAGCATAACAAGGACTTCTTAAATACAAGCAACAAGAACTGGGAACTTCACCTCCAAAGCTTACCTCATGTGCGAGCAGTGCTGAAGAGCAAGGTTTCTGAAGGAACGTCCAGCTCCGCTGCAAAGAAAGCCGCGCTGCAGGTGCCGACTGACACCGCTCAGCATAAGGAGCTTGCCTTAATCCTGCGCTCCGTGCACAACAGCGCAACCCACAACTTTCAGTTCCTGAATAAAAATCCTCCCTCTCTGTTGGGATGAGCACGACGCCCTCTCTCCTCACAAGCTGATACTCCCTAAGATTTTTCCTCAGATGCAAACAACAATTGCCTTTGGAAAGATGCCGTCAGAAGGGCAGCTCCGGCCGCTTTAGGGGCCCCGCTAAACAAACAGCCGTCACCACTAATTAGGTCAGGGAATTACGGAGATTGTGCTCTGCCAAAGCTTTAAGAGGGATGAGGCAGTGCGGTACAACTTCAGAAAATCTCATTACCGAGCAAACGCGGCGCAGGAAGGTTCGCGAAGGCAGCCGCGGGGGTCGCTCACACCGCACCTCGCAGACTGAGTCGCAGCAATTAGTCGCGCAGAGGCGATTCGAAACAACACGTGGAGAAATTTGCATCAGAACCAACACGAACTGGGGGCCATCAGAAACACTTCCTGTCGGTCAAAAGGAAAGCCGACGTCCTTTCCGCGAGGCTCCCGGCCCTCACGCCGCGCGCCCCCTCAGGCGCGCTGCGCGCGGGCAGGAAGGGCCTCACCGCGCCTTCGCAGCACAGCCTTACGGCGGGGTCAACAACTGCCAGAAGTCTCGTCCTGAGGAGGTACTTACCATCGCAAAGGACAGCGGTCCGTGTTTCAGTCAATTAGAAGGTACCCAGATAGAGAAACCAGAGCCACTGAACTGTTAACAAGTTAATATATTTCAAAGCAAATACAACAGTGTACACGTAAAAACCATTTCATACACAGTGGAAACCATTAAATGCACCTACTGCTGTAGGTTTTTGGTTATTTTCAGGTTTTTTGCTGAAACTTGGAAGCCGCGCTCTTCATTTCAGTTGCACCAGGTTAAGGCGAAACTGATCTATAGCAAGCAAACCACCGCCGTTCCAGTCCGCTGCGAAAGACAGCACCGCTGCAACTCAGTCTCCCCACAAGGGCACCCATAAAAAGGACTGTGCACATTTGTCCCACTCACTAAGCTACACAAGAAATCCCAGATGTGGCTCAATTGCTGCTTCTGAATGGTGAAGCTCAGTAAGTGCATCCTTGCTGTACAACAACAAAAAATTAAAGTGACAACATAGAGAACTGGCAACAGATAACCACATTCGCCTAAATATACACATATGATACATAATAATGGGCCATGCTGGCCAGCATGTAAGTCTGTTCAGGAGCAAAGCCTTAATTGCACAGATTAAAAAACTGAACAAATGCTTTTATAGAGTAAAGCACAAGCTTTGGTTTATGCTTAGACATTGAATACCAGCCCTTCAAATTTTATTAATAACATCTATTATGAAAAATAGGTCATTTCATTGCTACATGTGATAGTCATTCCTCTATAGTTAAGCACTTCATTCCATACAATGAAACAGAGCGCTGTGTATCTTACTCAATGAATAAATTTGCTGTATCTAGACACGGGATGCAATAAATCTTCATGAAAATCCACTGAATTACAAGAAAAAATTTGACTCATTACCATCACAATTCCACACCTCTTCCCCCCCACTTTTAAAAGGCAGCATATATAAAAAAATAACTCCCATATGGCACAAAAGTAGGATTCTCAAGGGAAAGCAAAGGATAAAGGGTCAGAGCGAAGTTTTCCCTGGCAAGATCAACACATTGTATTCAGTCCAAAAGGCATTTGCACCCTATACAAAGTGAGCTTCCCTGTGTTCTAGCTCTTGGATCCTTTTTGGCCTTAGTCTCTGGTAAGCAGGCTTTAGATCTGTGGAGTGAGTATCCTCTGAGCCAGTTTGTTGTTCACTTGTGCTTTGTCCAGGATTGCCCAATGGAAGCGCAGAGCTCCTAGCCAATTTCACAGTATCCTGCTGAAGCACAGAGCTAACACTGGTTGATGCACAAGCTTTCGCTTGTTCTACTGAACTCTTTTCACTTTGTTTGGATTTGTTAGAAGGTGGTTTATAAAATGTCCCTGGGGGTGGCTGCAGTGTTCTTGGTGCCCTGAAGGCAGCAAGAGGATGGGCATCTGAACTGTTCCCATCTGCTGCTGTCCTTCCTGACCTGACAGAAAGAGAATATGGCTTACTAGCAAGAATGGCATTAGCTGAATTGTTACTACATGATGAAGATAAGGCACCTGCAGTTCCACTCTCAAGTGCTCGGTTCTCCTGGGGCACATTTGTCACAATCATTGCTGTCCTTGCTGTGATATCATACTGTTTATATTGTTTGTCCCAGGTTTTTTGCAGCATCTGAGTGTCACAACAAGAAAGTCTGCAGAATGTATTGACAGCGGGGAGTGCCTTAACCTCTGAAACTTCTTCAATAGTAGGGCTTCTGCCAAGCTTTTCTGGACTTACAGCTCCTGCATTTCGTGAATTTCTCTCATTCAAAACACAAGGAGGAAGTATTCGGTCTACAGGTAAGCTCACGGGACGAATAGCTGGTTTTGTCCTTGGAACCCGCAATGGAACTTTGGTAATTTGACGATTAGGTTTTGCAGGAAATAAGTTAACTTTACAGCTCTCTTCACCTGCAGAAACAAAAGAACGGCTGTCTTTTTCTGAAGCTGGATTCACAGCATTGCCTAGAAACACATACATAGATGTCATTCAAATCTTCAGGATTTTTACAAACAGAATGCAAGCTTCACCAATGACCCTTTCACAGGAGGTACAGTAATGGGATAACAGCTTTGAGGCATACCCTGTACTCATTACTAAGAGTATCCCACAATAGCCAAATATTACTACTTCTATAATGTTAAAACAGGTAATGTACAGATGTGACTAAGGAGGAAGAAATCAGAGACAGCACACTACTTTATATTATTTTTTCTTTTGCTAGTGCTTTACTATTCCTAATTATTTTTCATTTCTAAGATTTTAACACTTCCAGATTTTGCACTCTACCTGGCTCTTTGGGAGCAGAAATATGAACGTCCGAAGTGTTGGAAGCTGATGATCCTAGTAGAGAATTACTCTTTCCAGAGCCCTCTGATTTAGCTCCACCAAGTTGCAGCGACACATGTTCTGGAGGACACAATAGTCAAAACACATTAATTACTCAACATTGGTTCATTGCATCATAGTAGATTGCAGAAACACATAGTCACCACATGTTTCTTTATTTTGTTTGAAATCACAACAACTCACTGTTGTGTTCTCTTAACAAGTACTTTAAACTGATTCTTTAAACACTTTTTTTTTTTTAAACCAAAAACCCTTAAAAAGATGTAATCTGCTTATGAAGAGCAGCAAGCACTACGATCTGAATAAACCAGGACTGCTACTTATTTACCAACTCAATACATAAAAGCCCACTAACCAGTTACAGATGTATCTACTTGTTCTTTTGCATTCTTGCTATTGTTCGATTCCAAAAGTAACCCAGTTGTTTCTGAAGCTCTGTTTTCACCTGGAGCTATTAGAACACCCTGTTAACAGAAGTCAGAGCAAAAGTAAATGAGCACAAGAGAAAAGACATTCCTCCTCAGAAAAGTACAAGAGAAGTGACTCACTTCCTTTACAGCAACAAATGACTTCCTCTGCTGCTGTGGCTCCCTCTCTTCTGCTGATAAAGCAACTCTGACTGTAATGGCATTTTCTTCAGTCTGTGATGTGCTCAGAAATGGTTGCATTGAAACATCAAATATCTTCTCATAGTATGTTATGAGCAGCTCCACCACCCGGGCCTGATACGGATAATCCACAAGTGATGATAAAGAAACTGTAGCATCTGTTTGGCGTGGCCTGATCAGAGTTGGGCCAAATATTATGCCAAGGTTGCTAGCTGACATTTTATTTTCATCAGACTGTTCTGTAACCCTGCATAAGAAGAGACGAAAAAAAACTCCAAGAATTAGAGGGTATTACTACTTCAGAAGTATTTTAGACACTAATTTTCATTTATATCTGAAGAGGCTAAAAGATGATTAAAAAAACTTAAGGTGGGTTTGGATGGGTAGCAAGCAGAATCATCATTGAAGAAAGCTCTTAACAGGAACACAGACTAAGCCCCTTCCACACAGGGTGTGGTGTTTTAAAACTTTATTTAGCATCACTAATCTATCTGGAATTTTGAGGAATTGGGAGGAGGGGTGGGAGGAAAGGGAAGGGAGATTGGGAAACAAAGACTAGAATCTAGAAATGTGATGACTCAAAGACCTACATTTAAGTTTGTTGGGTTTAAAGTATGCTTAGACAAACTATAACATTAGTTATGCTATTTTTGAAGCACCATTACATTCTCTTTTGGCATAAGGATGTAGTATATGACCAAAGAACACAACTGCAGCACACTCAAAACCACACAACTGTTTCTAGGAAAAAACAGTGGCAAGTACAAATAATGCATCTTCTACTGTCATTCAAAAGGTACAAGAGTTTCCTAATGCACACTATGCTGCATACATCAACTTTCAGCATCAACTGGCAGTTGAAGTCTTTTCTTACCTGTGCAGGTGGCCAATAAGGTACTGAAGAGTGTTATAGTTTGGTACAGGCAGTTGTTTCAGAAGATCTTTAATTTTAATGATGATTCTATTCAGCTCGATACAGATTGATTGTCTTTTCTTTGAGTTGGGGCTAGCCTGTTTAGCATCCAATTCCTCACTGACACTCTGGCTTTCTTTTGCAAGTCCAATGAACTCATTGTAAAGCCGAAATAAAATCAAGGGTTCTGGAAGCTGAAGAAACACAAACATGTCAGAAACTACTCAAGCCTGAATTTCAACTTTTATTTCTTTCCAGTTTTTCTTCAACCTTGTCTGGTCTAGTATATTCTTTTTTAGAAGATCTTTCGTTTAGTGGCTCAAACCATAGCTTATTAAAAAAAAAAAAATCTGGGTAAAGAAACTCCTTGTACTTCCTTCCATACATCTTTTGCTAGAACTTTGCTACAAGAGCTTGAAGACTGAGCACTTAACACAGGTTCAGATTTCAAGATGATTGAGGGAAGACATTACACTGCAGATACAGAACAATACGTGATAAAACACAGTATTTATTCATCTTTTCTTTGAGAATATACATGTGATATCCAGTTTGGTGCATATTCCGGTTTTCAAACTGGATTTTGGTCATATAACAGTTGTTTTTAAAAAATGATTGAAGTTTTGTCTCAGTAAAACAGCAATGTACTACAAAGTGAATATTAATAAACTAAAAAGAATTACAAAGGAAAACAAACTCAAATATAGACTGGTTATTTGCCTTGTGCCAGCTTAGAAAAAAGCAAAAAAGTTGGAAAAATAGAAAAGCTTAAAATATCAGCATTAATAATTATGTCAAATAGGTTTTAAAACAGGATTCTAAAATGTCTTGCAGGTTTTTAGCATTGTTCCTACATTTAAAATGAGCAGGTTTACCTTAAAAAAAAAAAAAAAAAAAAAAAAAAAGGACAGATTACCTACAAAGGAAGTAAAAAGACAAGAAAACATGTTAACTATTTTTAGAGTTAAGCCATATTTAAAATACAGCACAACACCTCTAACTACTCCACTAAGTCGTATATAATACGCTACCTTTTGATTTGATTAAATAGCCAGTTAATCTTTGTAGCTTTACAAAAGTACTTAATTTAACACTGATCATGGGATTGGAATGCTCCCAAGAGGGCTCGTTTTTAACAACTAGTGTCAGAGATGGGACCAAACCATGCACCTAAGGAATGTTCCTTTCAGGATCAACAAGTCTTTTGAGTGACTCAGTAATCTCACAGGGCAACATCCTAGTCATCAGATTCACAGTGATGGAAAACTTAGTCCTAAAGCTTTACATTCCCATTTTGAAACAAAAAGATGTATAGTCTCTCCATGATAAGGACATAATCAAGGCCAATATGTTTCAGTGGATCTTCACTAGCAAAATAGGGGGATGTTTTGATGTACACATGAAACACACAAATACAGCAACCAAAGTTTTAAAAGATTTGGCTTTACCACAAACAGATAAACAAAAGCTAATTCTGTAAACAGCACTGGCATTTAAGACACCTCATGCCCATATGGAATCTAGATTGTAATACCAGCTGTCAGTGATCTCACAGCTTTCTCTGCCCCTATCACATGCTCTATAAAAGAATTAAGAAACTCTACTGCAAATATACAAGGTATTCATACAGCCTTCAGTTGCAGGATTGCTAGAAGGAGTTTTTCCTGCCTGAACTGAAGAAATATGCTATATTACATTGCATATATTACATATATTACATTGATTTTCCATTTGACCTCTTAAGCACATACCTGGCGAAGATACAGCTTGAGAACATTGCTAATATCATGTGCATAAAGTTCTGAGAGCTCAACCAAATCCTTTCCATTTTCAAAAGCTTGACAAAGCTTTTCAACTCTTGATTTGGCTCCATTCACACGATAGATACCCTGAAATTTTAAAAGGCCAGCACAGATCAATTTTAATTTGATAAGCAAGCATATAACATAGATGAGATTAACAGTACAGAATTATCATCTTGAAAGGTGACTTCTTTTTGTCCCCTCCCCAAGTATTTTCATATGTTAATTTTTATGAAGAAACTTGACCATACCTTGACATTCAGTGCTCTGCTTTCAATTTCGGATGTACACTTCTTGATGATGAAAGGAATGCCATCAGGGACACTTTTAGCAGCTTGAGCAAATTCCACTCCGAACAAGTGAAGCCTTCCATGAAGTTTTTTGTGTCCACACTGAATAGCTAATGTCTCTAGACATTTCTTATGGCATGCAAGTGAACACTAAGGGGGAGAGAAAAAATACATGGTATGACACAATCTAACACCATGAGAAATATCGTTGGTGTTTGCCACTCCACATGAGGAAAAACAAAGATTTGTCATCCCCATAAGCAAACAAGAAAATTTATTAGTCAGTGAGGTCTTTGATGGTGAGAATTTTATGACCCACAAAGTCTGTACTTTCTACATAGAAAAAAAGTTTACAAAATTCTCAACTTCACATAAATTCAAAGTAGCAATTTAAAATACTTCTCAACTTACCTCCTCACATTCAGCTCCATGAAATACCACTAAGCTGTCACACTCTCTGCATTTAGACGGAGCCCTCAGCTTCCGTAGTTTGTGTGTTTGCGCTGCTTTGGACATATTTGTGTTTCTAAAAGGTCCTGGAGAATTTGCAGTTTCAGATGTCAGATCATTTAAACCTGGAAAGAACTTTGTTTCAGTCACTGTAATACCTATTAACAAGATATGCTACCTATTCTTTTTTTTTTAATTTTTTTTTTTATTTTTATTTTTTTAAGAACTGTGCTGTAGAATCACAAGGAAGCAAAAACATTGTAACAGACTGCGTAACAGATGAACTATCATATTGTCTTATATAGAAGTGGAATTAAACAGTTTTTCATTTTTAAGTATGCCAGTTTTCTCCTCTGTCATTAGCATGTGAAAATATTTGGATATTTAATTGGAGTAATTGGAGATTAGGCAACTATTCATGCAAGTTTCATTCTATCTATTTCAAAATCCTTTATTAGAATATGAAAGGTGATTACAGTTTGGCTTGTAATGTTTTGGAAGCACTTCTCAAATACACATTACAGAAGGTAAGAGTACAGTCACAGAAGAACCCATACAGATCCACAAAAAACCAACACACTAATTCTCAATCCTCTATGATAACATTAGAACAGTACCTAAAGTGTTCTAAAACACAATATCAACTGGTGCTTTTCATGACTGATCCAAGCTATCAGTAACTCTGAAAACAAAAATCCTTTGTTTTACAGATAAAAATTTAAAATTAAACTTCTTAAGAGCTCAAGCGCTGATTAAACAAATGTGCTGGTAATCACAATACATTTAGTGTATCTTTCTCAAGCTCGTTAAAAGAGAAGAATTACACTACAGCCATCTTTTGGGGAATTCAGGTACGGAAACAACATTACCACAGTCTGAAGGAGATGGTGGTTCTCTTTCATCAAGATCATCTGCAGATGACATAGTACCAGTAGAAGGCGTTCGTGGAAGTCGTCTTTTAAAATCCCCTAGAAGATGGCAGAAAAAAGTCAGGAAGCTCAAAATATCACTTCCACCCATCTGCCCATTGCCATTATAGGCTCTATCCAACATTCGCTAAATTAACAACGCATCTTCATTAATTTTAAGCAGTCCAAAGTAAAGACTTCAAAATTAGTATAGCAGTGACTGTAACTGTACCTGGGCTAGCAGATGGAGAATCCATAGATCGTGACTCACTGCTTCCCCCTGCACTTTCAGAATCACTGCACATTCCTCCACTCTGGTTTCCAACTGACCAAGATCTGAATGGCGGTGGCCCTCGCATCACTTTTAGAAATAAAATCCACCAATTACAAATGTGAAGAACAAAATGACAATCATCTTATACAAAAAATAGTTATATTCAAAATAGGAAAATACTGCTACAGTTATATGAACAGCATACATGTATCTGTAAAAACTTCGGTAAGAAAAAAATGGATTTCAAAGAACTTGATATTTATACTTTTTCAGAACGCTAAAAATCAATATAATATTTACAAAAAAATATGACTGCATTGCTGATATTTATTGAGATCATTTAATACATTGAGCTGGGAATGTTCAGCCTGGAGAAGAGGAGGCTCAGGGGAGACCTCATTGCTCTCTATAACTTCCTGAAGGGAGGTTGTAGTGAGCTGGGGGTCGGCCTCTTCTCTCGTGTCATTAGTGATAGGACCAGGGGGAATGGCTTCAAGCTACAGCAGGGGAGATTCAGGCTGGACATGAGGAAGTATTACTTTTCAGAAAGGGTGGTCAGGCATTGGAACGGACTGCCCAGGGAGGTGGTGGAGTCACCGACCCTGGGGGTGTTCAAGGAAAGACTGGATGTTGTGTTGAGGGACATGGTTTAGTAGGAGCTATTAGGAAT